GAGTAATTAACAGTGTGTGTGTGGGTGTGTGTGTGAGAGAGAGAGAGAGAGAGGAGAGAGAGAGGAGAGGAGAGAGATGGAGAGAGAGAGAGAGAGAGAGAGAGAGAGGAGAGAGAGAGAGAGGAGAGAGAGAGAGAGGAGAGAGAGAGAGAGAGAGAGAGAGAGAGAGAGAGAGAAGGAGGAGAGAGAGAGAGGAGAGAGAGACAGAGACAGAGAAAGAGACAGAGACAGAGATACGTATTGAGAATCGTGGAAGGGAATCTGGTGTCCTTATGCTGTGTATCTGCGGTGTTACACTGTAATAAAGCTTTGCTGTGTTGTACCAAACACAACACACCGCTGTGATTAGGATGAATACTGTTGCCATGGGAATGTGGGATTAGGATGAATACTGTTGCCATGGGAATGTGGGATTAGGATGAATACTGTTGCCATGGGAATGTGGGATTAGGATGAACATGTTCCTGAGTCCTGGGATATTATTATTTGATTTATTTATTTTTTACTCTGATGTGATTTAATCATAGATTGTTTTGTTGCTTGGTGGTTGTGTATTAAAGTACAACAAACATTATTATACCTTTGTTGTATTGTGCCAAAGACACTACAAATGATCTTGATCAATTACCATGATGAGGTTGAGAGTTCCTGAGTATTTGGGAATATTATTTTAAGTGTTAAGTTTAGTTTAATCTTCCAGTTAGAATAAGTGATCATTGCTTGTTTTTTGTTGTTTGAGTCATACTGTTAGGTTTCTATTTCATTACAGTAACAATCTGCTTCATCACAGAATACCCCATGTACTAACTCCTTCATCTCTCAATTCACTGAGTCATTGTCTCTGTGAAATCTGGTTTCAACGGCTTTCAAATCACTTGTTTGTGTCGTCAAAGCAGGTACAGCCAGTTTCCCTGTCCTTCATTTATCTGATGTCGTAAAGCACCTGAACCAGAAGAGTTGCATCGTTAGCATACTCTTTTGGGGTGTATAACCTCTTCATCCGGCTCCTGTCCTCTCATTTAGTTCAGCGGTGAGATAGAGGGAGGAGAGCTCTGATAAGCCAGTCCTCGGTTGGGTCCTCTAACCGACAGCCAGCCAACATGGACCGGTCCTACATGGGCAGTGCCACCGCTTACAGTGTCTATGGGAAGCCGCCTCAGTCCTACGTGGACCCGGCCTATGACGAAAAAGCGGCCAAGTCGTACATGGACTCAGTGTATGAGGAGAAGAAGAAGGTAGAGAAGAAGGCCCGCTCCGAGGCTGTCTGCTGCGAGGTTGTGGCGCTGATCTTCGGATTTGTCGGCCTGATCGGCGTCTCCGCTGTGACGGGCTTGCCCATGTGGAAGGTGACAGCATTTATCCAGGAGAACATCATCGTCATGGAGACGCGCTGGGAGGGTCTGTGGATGAACTGCTACAGACAAGCCAACATCAGGATGCAGTGCAAGGTGTACGACTCTCTGCTGTTCCTCCCTGCGGACCTGCAGGCCGCCAGAGGCCTCATGTGTTCCTCCGTAGCGGTGTCCGCCATCGCTCTGATCCTCTCTGCCGTGGGGATGAGGTGTACTAAGGTGGTGGACCACCGGCCGCGCACCAAGCACATTGTCCTGGTGACCGGGGGATGCCTGTTCCTTGTAGGCTGTGTCACCACCATCATTCCAGTGTCCTGGACAGCCAACGTGATCATCCGGGACTTCTACAACCCCCTGCTGATCGACGCCCAGCGCAGGGAGCTGGGGGAGGCACTCTACATCGGATGGGTGACCTCGGCTCTGCTGTTTGTGGCTGGGGTCATACTGCTTAGTCGCCACGCGCCCCGGGTAGGAGACGATGAGAGGGAGAGGATGGTCTATAACCCCAACGGGCCTGGGTATGTCTACCAGCCCGGAGTGAACTACCAGCCTGGAGTGAACTACCAGCCTGGAGTGAACTACCAGCCAGGATCATCGTACACATACCAGCCATATTCCTACCAACCTAACTACTCAGCTCCACCCGGATCTGTGGTCTATGCTCCTAACCAGTACATGTGAGAGAAACCCAGCCCAGAACAACATGGACTTAAGACTTACTTTGCCTGATGCCTGCTTGGAACCAATAAGTAAAAGTAGAATAAACAGAACTCATATTGTTACATAGAATAGAATTCATTTTAGTTATTTGGATCCGAGCGTTGTTGAAATGTCAGAGAGGGGACTATGAAATAGAGACACTGAAATGACCAGATGTCTCTTGCTGGAAATGGCCCAATCGTTGATTATTTTGTTCAGAGAGAGAGAGAGAGAAAAAACCCATTAAGCACACCTATGTGAAATTCAATGTATGTGTTGTGTCTTTGTGTTTAGGTGGGAGTTGTGTGTATGTGTTTAACTGTAGGTGGGAGTTCTGTGTTTAATTGTGTAAATATACTCATCAGTTATGTGTAAATATTGAGCATGATCCTACCAATGGGTGTGGAATGATGTGGTTAAGCAAAAAGGGCTTCACAAGATTGCACTAATATTGTCCAAAGAACTTACCAACCTCTGTTTCTGTTTACCTGCTATTTTCAGATTGTCTAAAAGTTTGTTGTTTTCATGAAGTTTTCTGTTTTTTACAGCACTGGCCTAAATTGAGGCCAATTTGGTTCACAATAAAAAATCTATAACTTTTTCCTTTAAAATGTATATTACAGCTTTATCTACGATCATCCTAACCAAGAACCAGTTATTACTTTTATGTAGTCAGAGAATGGTTTGTTCTCACTCAACAGTTTGTCCTTTGGTGGTTAAGTTGTTTAGAATGCTGGGTTTAGAATGCTGGGTTTAGAATGTTGGGTTTAGAATGCTGGGTTTAGAATGCTGGGTTTAGAATGTTGGGTTTAGAATGCTGGGTTTAGAATGCTGGGTTTAGAATGCTGGGTTGGGTTTAGAATGCTGGGTATAGAATGCTGGGTTTAGAATGCTGGGTTTAGAATGCTCGTTGATGTGGGTTCGACTGGAGTATGAACACACATGCAACGCTGGTCCTACTGCAAAGCTTCAACCATGATCAAATCTATCACAAGTATCGTCAGGAACTGAAGGAATGACTACATAGCTCACAACTCCTGAGGCAACAGATCAGACAAACCAGAGACAGACATCAGAGAAGACAGACAAGGAAGAGACAGAACAAGACAACCATGGGGATACAGAACAGACAGAGACAGAGACAGACATACAGAGACAGACATAGACACAGAGACAGAGACAGACACAGAGACAGACATAGATACAGAGACAGACAGAGACAGAGACAGACACAGAGACAGACAGAGACACAGAGACATGCAGAGACACAGAGACAGAGACAGAGACAGAGACAGAGACAGAGACAGAGACAGAGACAGAGACAGAGACAGAGACAGACAGAGAGACAGAGAGAGATAGAGAGACAGAGACAGAGACAGAGACAGAGACAGACAGAGAGACAGAGACACAGAGTCAGAGACAGAGAGACAGAGACAGAGACAGAGACAGAGATAGAGACAGAGACAGAGACAGAGACAGAGACAGACACAGACACAGACACAGACACAGACACAGACACAGACACAGAGACAGACAGATGGATTCATACCCAAAACCATAGGACAGTAGTAGTAGTAGAGGAAGAAGAGGAAGCTGGGGTCAAATAGATGTTTAATTCAGGAAGTTAATTGAAACTTCATTTATGAATTGTGTTCAAATACAAACTGTGTAATTGTAAATGTTTTAACTCTGAGGTATGGGGATATGAAAGTGTTTTGTTTTGGGTCATATACCCAGCAGACTCCTGGGAGACTCTCCTAAAGCGCTATCAGTCAATAAGGTCAGTCAATTGTAAAACAGGATCCAGTCAGGAGAGCAAACTGAGCCCTGTGAATAAACAGTGTGTGTTAGACACACACACACACACACACACACAACACACACACACACACACACACACACACACACACACACACACACACACACACACACACACACACACACACACACACACACTGTTTTTTACACGGACTCTCTTGCACTGGCTCTATGAACACTCACTAGACTCTACCCACACACTCACACTTACACACACACACACACACACACTCACACACTACATAAGCTCAAACACACAAAACACACACACACACACACATGCATATTGACGCCGCACACACACTCACACATAGACATACTTTCACACGCTGCTGCTACTCTGTTCATTATCTATGCTGATTGCCATAGTCACTTTTACCCCTACCTACATGTACATATTACCTCAATTACCTCAACTACCTCGTACCCCATGCACATTGACTCAGTACTGGTACTTCCTTGTATCTAGACTCGTTATTGTTATTTTATTATGTTACTATTTTTATTTTTGCTAATCTTTTCTTACTTTTTTAACTCTGCATTGTTGGGAAAGGGCTTGTATAAGCATTTCACGGTAAAGTCTATACGTGTTGTATTCGGCGCATGTGACAAATAATATTTGACTTGATGATTTGACACACACACACACCCACACACCTCCTTCCCCTCCTCCTACAGCTCCCAGACCTGCTGTTACAATAGAACAACACTTCCTGTCCCCAGGGATTCTGTCTCCTAGCAACAGACCCAGTCCCCTCCCCTCCCATTCACCTGTCCTGACCAGGGGAAGAGACGGAGGGAGGAGGCTTTACAGGGGCACACCCATCACCTGTACCACCAATCACCTATCAGCTCCTCTCATCTTCCAACGGGATGCAAAACTTATCCGGAGGGGAAGGAGGGAAGCAGCTGCTCACTGTAGTCAGATCCTACTGCGACTCCCCTCAGCCTGTGGACTAGGTGGGTTAGTTAGATCCTACTGCGACTCCCCTCAGCCTGTGGACTAGGTGGGTTAGTTAGATCCTACTGCGACTCCCCTTAGCCTGTGGACTAGGTGGGTTAGTTAGATCCTACTGCGACTTCCCTGTGGACTATTAGGTCTAGGTGGGTTGGGCAGGATAGGGTGAGGCTATGGCCAACTCAGCTCTGGAGATCGTTGGCTTGTTGCTGTCTCTCATCGGTCTGATCGGGACGGCTGCCAGCACGGGGATGCCCATGTGGCGTGTGACGGCCTTCATCGGCGAGAACATCATCGTGTTCGAGACGCGCTACGAGGGTCTGTGGATGAACTGCTTCAGACAGGCCAACATCAGGATGCAGTGTAAGGTGTACGACTCCCTCCTGGCTCTGCCTCCAGACCTGCAGGCGGCCAGGGGTCTGATGTGCTGTGCCGTGGCCCTGGGAGGGGTTGGGCTGCTCATCTCTCTCCTGGGGTTACAGTGCACCGCCTGCATCCAGGACAACGACCGGGCCAAACGCACGGTGCTCATCATCGCCGGCAGCATGATCCTCGGGGCCTGCGTCTGCGTCATCATCCCAGTCTCCTGGACGGGTCACACTATCATCCGTGACTTCTACAACCCCCTGCTGATCGATGCCCAGCGCAGGGAGCTGGGAGAGGCTCTCTACATCGGATGGGTCTCCTCTGCCTTCCTCTTCGCCGGCGGTTGCATGTTCTGCTGCTGTAACGTCAGAGAGGATAAAAGGAAAGACAGGTACATGTACTCCAGGAACAGCCCTAGTCAATACATGTCTTACCCCCCTCAGCCCCAGTACCAGCCCCAGTACCAGCCCCAGTACCAGCCACAGTACCAGCCCCAGCCCCAGCAGCCCCAGCTCCAGAGGCAGCCGTCCAGTTACAGCTACCCCGGCTCCAACCACTACCCCTCCAGGTACCCCTCGGTACGCAGTGCTGAGGCATACCTCTGAATGTTGAGACTAAAGGGAGGGAAAGAGACTGGAGTTTATACGGACTGGAGGAACAGCCACGGACCTGACCGAGATGTGTTCTTATCGGTACGGTTTGAAAGAAGCATTTCAGTTGTTAAAAGATGCATTTCAGTTTTTAAAACAATGCATATCAGCTTAAGTAAGAGACTAAATGATGGAATAAACTGTGAACTCACAAAGAGAGGATTTGGAGGAACACTTAATTGTAAAATTATCATCAGATGCATTTCAGTTGAGAAAAAATATGTCTATTGGATTTGTTTGTAAGAAAGCTGTTTAAAGATACTAAATACACTTATTATAGATTAACCGTGAACTCAGAAAGAGAGGACTTTGAGGGACCCTTAATCCTAAAAATTATCCCTTGTTTCAAGTTTTTATATGCTCATATTTGTACTTTGTGTTGGTGGGGTGTATAAGCACAGGTTTTTATAGTGATTATTTGTGTAAATATATTTACTAATTGTGTTGATGTGGTTGTGTGCTCTGTGCAGTAAATGTAGGTCCTTAACATAATGCCCCCTTAGTTAAATCAGGTGTTACGTAATATGTAGCTTTTATAATGTAAAAAAACTATTATCATTTTGCGTCCCAAATGACACCCTATTCCCTATTTAGTGCACTACTTTTGACCAGGGCCCATAGGGATTTAGGTTGCCATTTGGGACGCAACCGGTGTCCTTTATTTTTGTTATTTCATTCATAAAGTATCTGGTTAGACAAAAATCATCTCCCATTTTAAGATATGTAGCTGACTGTGTGCTGTAAGTAGACATCCTGCTAATGTGTTGGAGAACAACAGCACAGGGCTGGCTTTGTTCCATTGGCCCCCCCTTGACAAAGGTCCCCCTTGACAACATCAACAAACTACAAGACATTCCTGTTTCTGTTAAAACGCCTGTGTTGTTACTGCCATTGTGTGAAGGATTGGTAGTAGACAAACAGGGACGGCAATGTGTTGTAATATTATCCACCTGGGGAGACTCTATCTCAAATGGCACCCTGATCTCTAAACATAGTGCACTACTTTTGTCCAGAGCCCTATGGGCCCTTGTCAAAAGTAGTGCACTATGTAGGGAATAGGGTGCCATTTGGGACGCATTCCTCTCTGTGCCGACAGCCTGTAGCACATCGGGACTGATGGAAGTAAACACGAGGCTGGTTGTTGAAGGTGTGGACCCAGGAGCAGTAGGGTGGAACAGAGGACTTCTGTTAAAACAAACAAAAAAATGGACTAGAACTAGGGCTGGGTTCAATCCCTACAGCAGCATTGTATCGTGACTGAAAGGCAATGTTTCCGCATTCACAAAGATGTTATTCACGGTAAATGCTGCATACCCCCACGGGGGAGGGGGGGGGGGGGGTCAGTATGAAAAATGTATGCACTCACTAATTGTAAGTCGCTCTGGATAAGAGCGTCTGCTAAATGACTAAAATGTCAATTGGATCACAAAAAATAAATAAATAATTCATTTCAATTAAGTTGAGAAAAGTCTTTCAGCTTCTGGAATAGCACCGTAAGACTTTGATTTACACATTACTGATTAAATGAGACATTGATAACCTCATGTAGTCTTTCTGTCTTATTCTTACAATGGAGAGACTGGTGGAGCATAAGAACAGATGTGTTTCCGTTTCATTGTGAAGTGAAACTACTTGAGATAGCCTAACATGATCTGTGCCATCCAATGGCTCCTGAGACGGGCAGCACCATCGAGGGCTCCATTTTAAAGTAGTCCATTTCTTCTTCTTCTACTTCGAGTAGTGTGTTGTCTGAACATGTATAAAGCCAAGGTTGGGGATTTACTGCCACCTGCAGTTATGGAATATTTTCTCATGAGTATAATTCATTGGCTGATCCCTCCTGACGAGCTAAATGGAATTAGGAATTATGTGATTCTTCCTTAACCCATTGGAAGACCCATCCAGTTGACTACTTCAAAATGTCTAGAGTTCTCAACGGCGATGCTAAAACAGGCTATGGGACACTACATCGGTCTATCCAAGGCAATGGGTTAACTGTGAAAACAGAAGATTCAGATATTCAGAGTGTTTAATGGTCACATGTACATGGTTGCAGGTTTGATTGCAGGGTACAGTGGAAAATCTTAGGCTCTGAGCTCCAACACGCAGGACTAAGCTAAATAAAATAATGGCAATGGTAGTAAACAACAACAACAATATAAATAGCAATAGCACTGTAGACATAATACTGTAGCAGATTAATAAATACAGGCAGAGGTGGGGGTGATGACGATAGGGGGAACAGCAGGCAGAGTAAAGACTGTTGAGGGGGTGATGACCATTGGGGGAACAGCAGGCAGAGTAAAGACTGTTGCAGGGGTGATGACCATTGGGGGAACAGCAGGCAGAGTAAAGACTGTTGCAGGGGTGATGACCATAGGGGGAACAGCAGGCAGAGTAAAGACTGTTGAGGGGGTGGGGATGATGACCATTGGGGGAACAGCAGGCAGAGTAAAGACTGTTGAGGGGGTGATGACCATTGGGGGAACAGCAGGCAGAGTAAAGAGTGTTGAGGGGGTGGGAGTGATAATGATAGGGGGAACAGCAGGCAGAGTATAGAGTGTTGAGGGGGTGGGGGGATGTCCATAGGGGGAACAGCAGGCAGAGTAAAGAGTGTTGAGGGGGTGGGGGTGATGTCCATAGGGGGAACAGCAGGGGGGAGGGGGAGCAGGTAGCTGACTAGGGGTGGCTGTTCAGCAGCCTGATGGTCTGAGGGTAGAAACTATTGGCCAGTCTGACAGTTTTTGCCATGATGCTCCTATACTGCCACGATGCTCCTATACTGCCATGATGCTCCTATACTGCCATGATGCTCCTATACTGCCCGTGTCTGAGTGATGGAAGCGGGGAGAACAGGGCATAGCTTGGGTCCCTGATGATCTTCTTGGCCTTCCTGAGACACCTGGTGTTGTAGGTGTCCTGGAGGGCAGGCAGTGAGCACCCGATGGTGGGTTGGGCTGCACGTATCACCCTCTGAAGGGCCTTGCGGTCCGCGGCGGTGGAGTTGCCGTACCAGGCTGTGATGCAGCCCGACAGTATGCTCTCGATGGTGCTCCTGTAGAACACTGTGAAGGCCCTCGGGGACAGGCCGAATTTCTTCAGCATCCTGAGGTTGAAGAGTCGCTGTCGTGCCTTCTTCACCACGGTGTCCATGTGGTTTGACCATTTCATTCAGCTTCTCCGAGATGTGTACGCCGAGGAATTTGAAGTTATTGACCGTTTCCACGGCGGCCCCACTGATGAGGATGGGGGCGTGTCCAGCCTGGTTCCTCCTGAAGTCCACAATCAGCTCCTTTGTTTTGCTGACGTTGAGGGAGAGGTTGTTTACCTGGCACCACGCCGTCAGACTGACGTTGAGGGAGAGGTTGTTTACCTGGCACCACGCCGTCAGACTGACGTTGAGGGAGAGGTTGTTTACCTGGCACCACGCCATCAGACTGACGTTGAGGGAGAGGTTGTTAACCTGGCACCACGCCGTCAGACTGACGTTGAGGGAGAGGTTGTTAACCTGGCACCACGCCGTCAGACTGACGTTGAGGGAGAGGTTGTTTACCTGGCACCACGCCGTCAGACTGACGTTGAGGGAGAGGTTGTTTACCTGGCACCACGCCGTCAGACTGACGTTGAGGGAGAGGTTGTTAACCTGGCACCACGCCGTCAGACTGATGTTGAGGGAGAGGTTGTTTACCTGGCACCACGCCGTCAGACTGACGTTGAGGGAGAGGTTGTTTACCTGGCACCACGCCGTCAGACTGACGTTGAGGGAGAGGTTGTTTACCTGGCACCACGCCGTCAGAGCCTACCTCCTCCCTGTAAGCCAGGGTTCTTCAATTCTGGTCCTGGAGGGCCGAAACACCTCTGTTTTTCATCCTCTCCTTCTAATCAGGGGCTAATTCAGACCTGGGACACCAGGTGAGTGCAATTAACTACCAGGTAGAAATAAAAAACAGAAGTGTTTCGGCCCTCCAGGACCGGAATTGAAGAACCCTGCTGTAGGCCGTCTTGTATTATCATTCTTATTCTTATTATTATTATTATTATTATTATTATTATTATTTTATTTTTTATTTTTTAGGGGGTAGATCAGCTTTAATATTGCAGATAGAATGTAACTTACATTAGTTATCTTGTTGTTATTAGTTGTTGTTAGTTGTTATTAGTCCCATCCTTCAGCTACATTCAACACCTCCCATCTATCTCTTAACACCATCCATATTGGATTTCTATTTGCCATGTATTTTTCAACTGTACTGTGATGTTTTACAAAAGTTCTGAACCCTTCTATTCTCATTGTTTCTACAGATTGTAAATTGAAAATAAACATTTTTGCTAAAAGTATTATTATATATTATTGATTGATTGACTATGACTTTTCAGATCACCCAGTAATGCTATCTGCAGGGTCAGCTCCAGGTAAATATTGCAATCCTTCAGCCATTTCTGGACCTGTGTCCAGAAACAAGCTACAAATGGACAGTACCAAAACAAATGATCTAATGATTCTGTCTCTTCGTAGCAAAATCTGCAGAGCTGGGAAGATTGTATCCCCCATATAAATAACATTCTATTGGTAGCAAGAATTTTATATAATATTTGAAATTGAAAAATTCTACGTTTTGAATCCGGCGTCGTTTTGCGTATCAGTTCATAAACACTATGCCATGGAATCGGTACGTCAAAAATCTCTTCCCAACTATTTTGCAATCTTTATGGGACGGCTGTCAATCCTTTGGTCCTTAAATGAAACTGGTAAACTTTTTGATTTATCACAATTTTCTTTAACCAATTATGTTCTTTAATGCAGGGCCGACAGACAAGTTCCTTACTTTTTCCCCCTTCCACTTTCCTCTTCCATTTTTGCGGTAATGCCGTCTAGTCATTGTTGGTAATCGGGCCTACTACTGTTGTGTCGTCAGTGAACTTGATAATGGAGTTGGATCTGTGTGTGAGGCCAC